GTAGTTATAAGTGGTGTTATAAGTACTGTAACTATAATCATAACCCATATTAGGGGACTTGTAACTCCACTTATAACTAACCATGAACCCTAAACCCTATAGAACCCTTTAAAGGAACCCTTAAAGGAACCCCCTAACTCCACTTATAACCATGGACCTTCAAGGGGTCCCAGGCTCGGGCTCGGCCTCCAGGATGCCCTTCGACTACACCCATGATACAAAAAAACTGGGTTCTTGTTAAGGGATTTAATTTAAGTTACCATAATAGGGATCTATAGGTAAATAATAGGGTTTCCTTATTATGGTAACTTAAATTAAACCCCTTAACAAGAACCCAGTAGAGCAGTCTCAACTGGAGTCCGCTTGGTCGTGATCAGCTCCTGCTGTTGCAGTGTAGGCTTCCTTTGCCGTTCCTTCATCCAGAAAACCGGTAAACCTTGAATCTTAAGCCTGGCGCGCTCCCCAGAATGCGATCCTTGAGCCCTAGAACCCCTGAGCCCTAAACCCTCAGGTTACCATCAGGCAGCTGGCGTTCCCTCGCCCTTCGTGCAGATGTCGAGACGCGCGGTGCTGAGTCGAAACGCTTCTGGCCAGTCTGGCTTAGGTTTCATGTTTTCAGGTTTGGGATTTACGGTTTTGGGGTTAGTGCTGCTTCCCAGCTGATCATCAGAGTCTGGGTTCAACAAAGGGTTTTGGAGTTTTGAGAGGTGAACCTCTCTATGCTCAGACCTTCAGGTGATTGCACAAGTCCTGACGCGAAAAGGATTTTGTGTCAGCAAGGGTACCTGCACACAGGTTGTAGGAGACTTGAAGGAGTGACTCTTCCGTGACATCTTTGGGTAGTCTAATGGAGGATCTCGCTTGAAATCATGCAGTGCTGCTTCCCAGCTGATCGGCAAGGGATTCTGCAGTTCAGGTTTCAAGGTTGGTGTTGAGGCTTAGCAGTTTCGGGTTCTAGGGTTCTCGTTCCCACCAAGGACATACCCAGAGTAACAAGGTACCCTGAACAAGATAAATCTACCAATTCCAAACATTATGGCCCCTACTTGGAGGTCCATGGGTAGTTATAAGTGGAGTTATAAGTCCCCTAATATGGGTTATAATTATAGTTACCCTACTTATAACCCCACTTATAACTACCCATGAACCTCCAAGTAAGTTAGCTAATCTGCTTGGCCGGCTCGCGCAGGCTACATGGGCGTGCAGCAGCCGCTTTCGCGATACTTGGATGGCAACAACAAAAGCGAACACCGCGCGAGCTTTCTCGGAAACTGAGCTTTAAAACCCCAAGCCTTTGAGAGTTCTAGCTTCTGCTTGGCAGGCTGCACCGACATGAGGGGCTGCAGCTTCTCCTGAAATTATTCCGTAGGATCCGCAAAACCGAAAACCGGTGCAGCTTCGTGTCAGAGGCTTTGCCTTCCCTTTCCTGAGATTTGGAGATCAAGTCCTCCCCAACAAAGAGCCCCACGCCATCCCGAAGCCCAAGGCCCCCGAAACCCCAAAACCCTGAACCCTAAACCCTTGCCTGAGGTTTGCGAAGGAGTCTAAACCCTAAACCCTAAACCCTAGGCCCTAAGAGACCCTTGGACCAGAAAGGCCCAGAGTCGCGCCCGGCGTCGCGTCCGGGCACTGGCAATGCCTTCAGCATCAGCGTCGGGGCCCGACCTCCAGGAGCCGAGACTTCGGGGTTTGCTCAGCATCTTCGGTTGCTGCACCTGTGTAACTGCTCCATTTTGGCTACGGCTCAAGTCTTGGCTCAAATGTCATATGTCTGCAAGCCGGAACGCTGCCACAGAGAATGTCCCTCCCGCCCACGTGGACTGCTGGTGGCTGGCCCCAACAGCAGATAGCAACGTATGGAGGGCTCGGAGCGCCTGCAACACAAAGCATGATGGCCGCCAACCTGGCCCCTACGATGATCTTGGCTCAGTCTTCGCCAACCTCACAGGGTGACCAGGAGTCTACGCAGGAGGCCGAGCCCTGTTTCGACGGGCTGTGCCTGAATGAAGCGCGGGAGAGTGAAGAAGCGACGGGAGAATATGTATATTGTGGCTATGACTTCAAGCCAGCCTTGCCTCCCGCACTGGGCGTGTCCGTGGTGCTAGGCGCAATCTGCAGCGCCATTGTGCAGATTCC